TGCAACACATGCCCAAGGGGATTCGAATGGAATACATGCCCAAGGGGATTCGACCTTGGGACCTCAAGTAAAAAACGCAAAATCATAACCATCAAGCCATCTAACTACATGTGATTATAAATTGTTGATTAATAGACTATATTTATATTTCGTTTTCATTTAATGATGTTTGGGAATTATCCCACATCGAAAGATGGGTATTCAACTTTGGTATATAAATACTTATACAATATGAATTATAAAATGTGTGTAAAAATATTAGGGCAACCTCACACGTGCATTTGGATACACGTGAGTGTGCGAGGGGGCATGGTCGCACGTGCGCTTGGATACACGTGTGCACGTGTGAGTGCGTGGGGCACGCTCGCACGTGCGCTTGGACACAAGTGTGCGCGTGTGAGTGTGCGTGGGGCACGCTTGCACGTGCGCTTGGACACACATGTACGTGTGTGAGTGTGCGTGGGGCACGCTTGCACGTACGTGTCCTACATGTGTGAACCGGGCTGAATCGGATATAACCAGATGGGAACTGGCGGTTCCACTCTAAAACCTGGGCGGTTCCCGGTTTTTGGTTGGAACCGGCATGGGCACGCGTGTTTTCAAGTAGAACCGGGCGAGTCCGATTCGACTTGCCGTTTTTTAAAACATTGGTTCCAATGGTTTACGAATTAGATGAAATAAAACCTTAAGGATTTGCAGAAAATATTCTATGCACGTGCGCGTGTGTGAACCGAGCTGAACCGGATAGAACCAGCGGTTCCACTTTAGAACCCGGGTGGTTCCCGATTTTTGGTTGGAACCGGCACGGGCACACGTGTTTTCAAGTCGAACCGGGCGAGTCTGGTTTGACTCGCCGTTTTTTAAAACACCGGTTCCAATGGTTTACGAATTAGATAAAATAAAACCTTAAGGATTTGCGGAAAATATTCTATACTTGGCATGAATATGGTCTTAATACTCAGGTGAAGTATAGTCGGGTATTATGACTCAACATCCACCGTCTATATCAATCCACGGATTTTAAGTAAATAAGGGAATACAATTGAAACTTGGTGAAAAT